TTTTTTTAACCTGGGGCAGAATCCATCAGATGCCATGTAAGTTGATACTCAATTTCTTTGTGAATTTAATGAATTACAAAACACTAAGTATGGGCCTAGAGGCTCAATGATAAAGAGGAGACTCAGGTTCAATCCCTGGGTTGGGAAGATCCCCTGGAGAAGGAAATGGCAACCCACTCCAGTATGCTTGCCTGGGAAATACCTTGGATAGAGCAGCCTGGCAGGCTACAGTCCATGGGTCACAGAAGAGTTGAACACGACTTAGCCACTAAAGGACAAACAGTAGGCCTGCATGAGAGTGTGAAGTCCCTAGGTACCATAGATAGGAAAGTTTGCACCCTCTTGCTTTCCTCCATGAGCTCCACCAAATGCTCACAGCGAAGAGCAAGAAGCATTGAGAAAGCTTCCCTAAATGAGGCTGTCTGGAGGAAGAAGTTGAAGGGAACAGCAGTGAATGCAAAAACTTCTTCCAAACCCATTTACCATATTTTTTCCTACAGAAGTAAAATTGTAATCTGCAGGCAGAAGCAACAAAAAAACTGTCACCTTAGGACATTGTGGAAAACCATTGTAGCTGGGAAGGGACAGGGACAAAAATTCCACTACTCAGGGAGAGGCAGGAATATGTGCAAGGACCAACACTATAGCTGGTAGAGGGGCAGGATCACTTGGGAAGGCCATACCCCCAAGACCCAGGTTCACAGTACCTCAGATTAAGGCTTAAGTGTAATATCACAGGCAACCTTCCCACTCCCCCACATACCACCCCACTCCCAGGTCCCCACCCTCCACCCTCCAATAAACAATGAGTGAAATTAACAGTGGAATACCATTGCTACAGTGGAATCAAGAAAAAGATTATCTCTGGGGGGTAGTAGTTTGAAAGGAAGACAGACAGCAGATAGGGAGAGTAACAACTGAGAAAAATAAAACCTCTGGCAAACTGGCTTAACCCTAAGTACAAGAAATCAGTGGAGAAATTTGAAGCCTGTAGTGCACTGAAGGTAACCTTAGCAACAACAAACTCCAAAGTCAGACCAACTCCTCAATAGATTAACCCTAACTCCCACACTAAAGGTCTAGCACAAGGGAAGGCTCATCTCCAAGCCTCATCGCTCCCAGATTTACCTCTGTCTCTACTGTCTTAATTGTTCAGTTTCAACAAAAAGTTATGAGGTATATTAAGAGGTAAAAAACATTCTAAAGAGATAAAACAAACATCAGAATCAGACTCAGATATGACAGAAATGTTAAAACCAGACAAGGAATTTAAAATAACAATGGTTAATAGATTAAGGCATTCAATGAAAAAAGTAAACACCACACAAAATTGGGGTAATATCATCAGAGAGATAGAAACAATAAGAAAAGATAAAATAGAAATGCTAGAAATAAACACAGTGACAGAGAGAAAGAATGACCTTTATGGGACGATCAGCTGAAGAATCTGTGAACTTGAAAATATATTGAAGAATTTACTCAAACCAAAAGACAAAGAGAAATAAAAGTAAAAAATCACCCCTCCCCATATTCAGAGTATCTAAGAGCTATCTTACAGTACCAAACATAAACATAATTGGAATCTCAGAAGTGGGATTATAAACACACACACACACACACACACACACACACACACACACACACACATCTCAACAGATGTAGGAAAAACTCAACAAAAGTTAACATTCATTTATAACAAAACTCTCAATAAAGTAAGTATAGATGGAACTTCCTTAACTGTTAAGGGCATCTTTTAAAAAAGCAAAAAGCAGAAAACACCCTACCCTTAACATCATATTTAATGATAAAACGCTACAAGATTTCCCCGCAAGTTCAGGAACAGACAAGGATGTTCTTTCTAACCCCTTCTAATTCACATTGTTTTAAGTTGAATTTACCTGATGTTGATGCATCTTAAGTTATTGGCTATGTAGGTATAGTCTTTTGTGAAGTGTGTATTCATGTCTCCCGATTTTCAACTGGGTTGTTCATTTGTTTTTTGTGTTTTTGTTACTGATTTATAGGCATTTAAAATATCTTTTGAATGTTACTGCTTTGTGAGATAAATATATTTTCCAAGTCTCTATACTGCTGTTTAACCTTTAATAGTGCTTTTTGAAGAGCAAAATTTCTTAATTTTGATAAAAAGTAGGATTATCAATTTTATACAAGTTGAGAATTAAGACTATTCATTTTTCATACCTATATTCAATTGCTCCAACTCCTTTTATTGAAAAATCTTTCTTTAATATATTGAATGGCTTTGGTAGTTACACTGAAAATCAATTGCCAGTGTATGTTATGGGTCCATTTTTCAACTATTATGTTCCACTGATCTGTTTGTCTTTCCTTACAATAGTGCCACACTATCTTAATTATTTATAATTATTAATTCTTGGAATATGAAAGGGCAAGTTCTCCAACTTTGTTTTTATCTTCCAAGATTATCTTGACTATTCTAAAGCCATTAAATTTCCATATAAGCTTTAGAATCAGTTTGTAAATTGCTCAAAAAGGACTACTGAAATTTTTATTTGAGTTGTATTGAAACTATAGGATATTTGTCTCTAATTTCCCTAAGCAATATTTTGTGCTTTACAATGAAGAGATCTTGCAAATTTTTTGCTAAACTTATTACTACATACTTGTTGATAATTAAAGCTATTGCAAATAGTATTGTTTTAAATTATATTTCCAGGGTTTATTGATTATAGAATATAATTAATCTTTGTATATTGACTTTGCTTCCTGAGATTTTCTTAAATATTACTTCATTAATTCCTTTTGATTTTCTACATACACAATCATGGCATCTGTAAATAAAGGTAGGTTGACATCTTTCTTTCAAACTTTTGTGCCTTTTACTATTCTTGCCTTATTGCATTAGTTAGGACTTCTAGTACAATTTTGAATAGAAACTCTGAGAATGGCCATTATTGTTTAATGTGTTACACAGAATGTGTCACTATTAAGTATAATATGAGCTATATATTTTGTCAGGTTGAGGATGTTCCATTTATTCCCAGTTTGTTATATGTTTATTTTTTATTATGAATGGGTACTGAACTTTGTCAAATGCTTTTTTTGGCATTTATTGAAATTCTTATAGTTTTTCTCCTTTATTCTGTTAATAGAGGATGGCAATGATTACTTATATTCCTGTAATAAGCCAAAACACACTCTTGTATATTATCTAAGTATCACTGGATTTGATTTGATGGTATTTTATTCAGACTTTTGTGTCAGCTGATATTCCTGAGGGATATCAGCTATAATTTTCTTCTCTTATAAGTACCTTATTACATTTTCATGTCAAGATTATGCCCTTATAAAACAAGCTGGGAAGTATTCCCTGATTTTATTGCTGAAGAGATTTTGTAATACTATATTATTTCTTCTTAAAATGTTTGTAGAATTCACCACAAAACAATCTGGGCCTGGAATTTCTTTTTAGAAAGGTTTTTAATTGCAGATGAAATTTCTTTCATAGACTCATATCATTCAATTTTGTGTTTTCACATAATAATTCTTGGTAAGAATAAAGATGAAACATGGTTTATTTTTATTTCTCCCATATAAGTTATCAATAGCAAGATATTACCAAGATTTCCTCCAATGTTTTCTTATAAAAATATCATAATTTTAGCTTTTAAGTGTTAGTCTTTAAACATTTTGAGTTAATTTTGTGTATTATATAAGCTAAGGGACCACTTCATTTTTTTGCATGTGGATATTCAGTTTTCCCAGAACCACTCGTTGAAGAAACTTTTTATCCCATTAAATGGTCGTGGCCCTCTTGCTGAAAATCAATTAAAATGTATGTATGAGTTTATTTCTAGGCTTTTTATTCATTCCATTGGTCTATATGTCTGTCTTATGCTAGTACAATAATACCGTTGCTTTGTAGTAAGTTTCAAAGTCAGGAAGTGTGAGTACTCCAACTTTATTGTTTTTTGTCAAGATTGTATTGACTATTCAGGGCCTTTTGAGATTTCATATGAATTTGAGGATTGGCTTTTCCATTTCTGGGGGGAAAATCTAACAGAATTTTGATACTGATTGGGTTGAATCTGTAGATCATTTTGGAATACTGACATCTTAACAATGTAAAGTCTTAACCATGAACATGGGATGACTTGCCATTTTTAACGTCTTCTTCAATTTCTTTCAGCAATGCTTTGTGGGTTTCGGTATAAAAAGTCTTTTCACCCTTTAGGAAGACTTATTATAAGTACTTAATTCTTGTAGATATTATTATAAATAGAAGTGACTTTTAAAATTCCTTTTTAGGTTGTTCATTCTTAGTGTACAGAAACAAAAGATTTTTGCATGTTTAATTTAGCTGAATTTGATTATAAGCTCTAGTACCTTTCTTGTGGTTTCTTTGGTATTTTCTCTATATGAGATTATGTCCTCTATGAATAGATAGTATTACTTCTTTCTTTCCAATTTGGGAAATTGTACTCCTAACAGTCTAAAACTATAAGCAAAGCTCAAGATTTCCATAACTGAAAAAACCTACAATGGAGTACACTAAAAAGTAGCACTGATTCTGATTCAGCAGGTGATTAATTTCTTTATATTTTTCTACATTTTCCTATTTTTTTGTAATGAAATTATATTTCTTAGAAAAAAATTAAGATGCTTACTAAAAAGGGCAATGATAGGAGGTAGGTATTACCAAAGTAGTGAAAAATGAGTTCATTCCAATGAAGGGGTTAGTGGCTTGTTGGTTTTACCAAGTTTGCATTTATTTTCACACACCGGTAGCCATGCAAATGTGTGGGTTGTCCCTGGGCCTGAGTTGGTTAAATCTGCTAAATGAGAAGTTCCGGTTTCTCTGAAGACACTCTGCACACTTCCTTCCACAGTCCAAGCTGTCTATATCCAACATTTCTTCACATGGCCCTATAAGGTTTCAAGCCCATTTGGGGTGCTTTTGTACGTTTCCTATTATGGATTCTTTTTTTCATTATTTTGTAGCTGTGGTGCCACTTGAAATGAACAATCAAACAGACATGACTGAATTCATCTTCTTGGGATTTTCCAACCATCCCAATCTACAGAGTTTGTTCTTCCTGGTCTTCCTGGTCATTTATCTGACAACTCTTTTTGGGAACACACTCATAATAATAGCCATCAGGGTCAGTCCTGCCCTCCACATCCCAATGTATTATTTCCTCAGCAACCTGAGTTTCTTGGACATTTGCTACACATCTACCACTGTCCCAGGCATGCTGATGAACTTTTTCCAGAAGAAGACTATCTCCTATGAGGGCTGCCTTTCCCAGATTTTCTTCCTAGTGACCTGTGCTGGCACTGAGGGTGTATTATTGGCAGCTATGGCTTATGACCACTATGTAGCCATCTGCCACCCTCTTCAATATCCAGTCCTTATGAGTGTGAAGGTCTGTGTCTGTTTGGTGTCTGGGTCCTGGCTATGTGGACTGGTGGATTCTATGACACACACAGTGTTGGCAACCACACTCACTCTGTGTGGGCCTAACCAGATCAGTCGTTTTCTCTGTGACATCCCATTCCTCCTGAAGCTCTCCTGCTCAGATACCTCTCTCAATGAGTTTGTGCTCCATGTGGCCAGTGCCACTATTGGCCTAAGTCCCTGCTTGTTCACTGCTGTGTCCTACATACTCATCATCTCTGCATTCCTTAGGATTCCCTCTGTTCAGGGCAGGAGCAAAGCCTTTTCTACCTGTGCATCCCACCTCACTGTGGTGGTTATCTTCTTTGGAACAGCCAACTTTAACTATGATAGACCCAACGTAGGCTATAACCTGGATATGGACATCCTGGTCTCTGTGTTCTTCTGTGTTGGGACCCCCATGTTTAACCCCATCATCTATAGTCTGAGAAACAAGGAGATCAGAGGTGTCCTGAGGAAGCTGGCTAAAGAATGCTGGTTCTCTAGTGAGATCAGCAGTTAAACAGTTTCATTCTGGAAAACTTATTAATTGGAGAAAAATTGAGTATTCTAGCTACAATTTAAACAGCACTCTTTTTATATATGATCTCTTGACAACTGATGACTGGTTCCACCAGGACAAATATGTACACCTGTACTGAGCATTTCACACATTGTGATCCTAAATACTGTGTGTTCTCCAATCCACTGATAACTTAGAGCATTTTGTAACCTCCTAGATAAACCCCAGTATATATTAGCAGTCACTCCCCATATCCTCCCAAATTTGAAGCACTAGAAAACCACTCTTCTGCTTCCTGGGTCCATGGATATCCTTATTCTGGATGTCTCATATAAATAAAATTCTACAACATGTGCCTTTTGTGTCTGGCTTCTTGGGGCGTTTTCAAAGTTCATACATATACCATGTTGTGGTACTTCATTCCTTCTCATTGAATGATTTCCATTTTACAGATATACCACATTTTACTTACTGACTCAATAGACATTTTAGCCATTCTCACTTTTTACTATTATGAATAATGCTGCTATGAACACTCATATTCAAGTTTTAGGAGAAATATTTGTATTTATGTAGAGTCTATAGTTTTGAGTGGTATTGCTGGATCACATGACAAACTTTAAAAGGACTGTTAAATTTTTTCAAAGCAGAGGCACTATTTTACATTATCAAGGGCAGAGTATGTGGGTTCTAATTTCTCCACATCCTGACCGACATGTTATATGTACTTTTTCTTTTATAGCCATCCTAGTATGTGTAAAGTACTGTATCATTTTGATTTGCACTTCCCAGATACCTAATGATTCTAAGGTCTTTAATAAGCAACATTACTACTTCACAGGCAAGTCTGGCCTTGGAGTGCAAAATGAGGTAGGGCAAAGGCTAACAGAGTTTTGCCAAGAGAATGCCCTGGTCACAGCAAACACCCTCTTCCAACAACACAAGAGATGACTCTACACATGGACATCACCAGATGGTCAATACCGAAATCAGACTAATTATATTCTTTGCAGTAGAAGATGAAGAAACTCTATACAGTCAGCAAAAGCAAGATAAGAAGCTGACTGTGGCTCAGATCATGAATTCTTTATTGAAAAATTCAGACTTAAATTGAAGAAAGTAGGGAAAACCACTAACCATTCAGGTATGACCTAAATCAAATCCCTTACAGTTATACAGTGGAAGTGACAAATAGTTTCAAGGGATAATTGAAGAAAGTAGGGAAAACCACTAACCATTCAGGTATGACCTAAATCAAATCCCTTACAATTATCTTACAATTATACAGTGGAAGTGACAAATAGTTTCAAGGGATTAGATCTGATAGAGTGCCTGAAGAACTACAGACAGAGGTTTGTAACATTGTACAGGAGGCAGTGAACATTGTACAGGAGGCAGTGATAAAAACCATCCCCAAGAAAAAGAAATGCAAAAAGGCAAAATAGTTGTCTGAGGGGGTCTTACAAATAAGAGAGAAAAGAAGTGAAAGGCATAGGCAAAAAGAAAAGAAATACTCATCTGAATGCAGAATTCCAAAGAATAGCAAGGAGAGACAAGAAAGCCTTCCTAAGTCATCAGTACAAAGAAATAGAGGAAAACAATAGAATGGGAAAGACTAGTGATTTCTTCAAGAAAATTAGAGATAGCAAGGGACTATTTCAGGCAAAGATGGACATAATAAAGGACAGAAATGACACAGACCTAACAGAAGCAGAAGATATTAAAAGGTGGCAAAAAATATGCAGAAGAACTATACAAAAAAGATCTTCATGACACAGATAACCAGGATGGTGTGATTACTCACCTAAAGCCAGACATCCTGGAGTCTGAAGTCAAGTGGGCCTTAGGAAGCATCACTACAAACAAACCTAGTGGAGGTGATGGAATTCCAGTTGAACTATTTCAGATCCTAAAAGATGATGCTGCCAAAGTGCTGCACGCAGTATGCCAGCAAATTTGGCAAACTCAGCAGTGGCCACAGGACTGGAAAATGTCAGTTTTCATTCCAATCCCAAGATTGGAAAGGCAATGCCAAAGAGTGTCCAAACTACCACAAAGTTGCACTCATCTCACACGCTAGCAATGTAATGCTCAAAATTCTCCAAGCTAGGCTTCAACAGTATGTGAACCATGAAATTTCAGATGTTCAACCTGGATTTAGAAAAGGCAGAGTAACCAGATATCAAATTACCAACATCTGTTGGATCATTGAAAAGGCAAGAGAATTTCAGAAAAACACCTATTTCTGCTTCATTGACTACACCAAAGCCTTTGACTGTGTGGATCACAACAAACTATGGAAAATTCTTCAAGAGATGGGAATGCCAGACCACCTCACCTGCCTCCTGAGAAATCTGTATGCAGGTCAAGAAGCAACAATTAGAACTGGACATGGAACAACAGACTGGTTCCAAATTGGGAAAGGACTACATCAAGGATATTTATTGTTACCCTGCTTATTTAACTTATATGCAAAGTATATCATGCAAAATGTCAGGCTGGATGAAGCACAAGCTGGAATCAAGATTGCCGGGAGAAATATCAATAACCTCAAATATGCAGATAACACCATCCTAATGGCAGAAAATGAAGAGGAACTAAAGAGCCTCTTGATGAAAGTGAAAGAGGAGAGTGAAGAACTTGGCTTAAAACTCAACATTCAGAAAACTAAGATCATGGCATCTGGTCCCATCACTTCATGGCAAATAGAAGCAGTGATAGACTTTATTTTCTTGGGCTTCCAAATCACTGCAGATGGTGACTGCAGCCATGCAATTAAAAGACACTTGCTCCTTGGAATAAAAGCTATGACAAACGTAGACAGTGTATTAAAAAGCAGAGACGTTACTTTGCTGACAAGATCCATCTAGTCAAAGCTATGGTTTTTCCAGTAGTCGTATGGATATGAGAGTTGGACCATCAAGAAGGCTGAGCACACCAAAGAATCGATGCTTTTGAACTGTGGTGTCAGAGAAGACTCTTGAGAGTCCCTTGGACTGCAAGGAGATCAAATCAGTCAATCCTAAATGAAATCAACCCTGAATGTTCATTGGAAGGACCGATGCTGAAGCTCCAATACTTTGGCCACCTGGTCCGAAGAACTGACTCATTTGAAAAGACCCTGATTCTGGGAAAGATTGAAGGCAGGAGGAGAAGGGGATGACAGAGGATGAGGTGATTGGATGGCATCACCAACTCAATGGATATGAGTCTGAGCAAGCTCTGGGAGTTGGTGATGGACAGGGAAACCTGGCATGCTGCAGTCCATGGAGTCACAAAGAGTCAGACACAACTGAACCGAACTACTTCACATGTGGAAAAACTTACCTTGCTAAGGAAGTTTTTGAGCCAAAGATACTTTTTACCCTAATTTTGGTGAGGCAAAATACTGCAAAATTTTCAGACTTGGAGTCTTTCTCCTATCTGTGCCCTACAGAGGTGTTTGATGACTCTGACTTATTCTTTTTTAGAACCCAAATCTACAGTGTCATGACCAGGTCATGAGAAATGGCATAACAATACCTCAGGGAACATGAAGATATAAGGATGCAAGTTAGCTGAGAGCAACCAGAGATGGTCCTTTCAGGTAGCCATCCAATAGCCACCTAATCCCACCAGCCAATTTACAAACTTTGCCCCTAAAGTGCCCACCAATACTCCAGAAACAGTCAGGAGGCTATAAAAACCTGCCACCAGCCAACTCGAGAGACTTTCCCTACTTTAGTAGGTGCACACCTCACACTATCCTGTACTAAGGATTTTAGCAGCCACTGGACTCATTAACTGCTCATAAATATTCCATGCATACATCTAATTATAACAGACTGAATTATGGGAAGGGCAAGCACAGTAGAGCATCTTGTTATAGAATCTGTAGCTGTCGTAGCTCAGTCAGTCAAGAATCTGCCTGCAATGCAGAAGATCTGGGTTTGGTTCCTGAGTCAGAAAGATCTCCTGGAGAAGAAAATGGCAACCCACTCCAGTGTTCTTGCCTTGAGAACCCCATGGACAAAGGAATCTGGCAGGCTACAGTCCATGGGGTCACAAGAGTAGGATACGACTTAGTGACTAAACCACCACCAGCTGTCAGTCAAGGCTGTCAGTCAATGACACCCCTTCCCCCGCAGATTATACAAATGACCCTGCTTTAAAAACCCTGTACCAAAAAAAAAAACAAAAAACCCCTGTACCCTAGCCCTCCAGGGCCATTGGCCTCCCTCGGCATGGCCCACCTCTCTCTTGAGGTGTTCTCTCTGTTCTTTCTTCATGTGTGCTCAGTCCTGTCCAACTCTTTGCCACCTGTTCTTTCTTTCCTTGTTGTTAATAAACTTTCTTGCAATGGGTAAGACCTTAGACTCTTCTTGCATCCTTACTAAGAACCAAGGCCCACAGGAGGGTCTCCAGACCCTCCTTCCACTAACAGAAGGAAGGATGCATCACGCTCAGGTGAGCAGACCTCATTGGGAGTGCTTAGCACCAAGAGAACAGATAGGTTGCTAAAACAGTAGCTCCAGATACACATTCAACAGGCAGATCATGCAGCATGAGGAGTCCAAGTCTAAGGGGAAACTCCCCATACTGTTGGAATCCAAACAAATAAGCCCACAGGAGGGTAAGCCAGTATCATAGGCTTCTGCCACCCATGACTTCTTAATAGAAATCTAGTATTGAACTTCACTCAAAAATATCCCAGCTAAGAACAAGATGGCGGAGGAGTAGGTGAATGTGGAATACATCTCTCTCCACGGATACATCAGGAATATGCCTTCAGACGCAGAAGTGCATGCAGAACACCAGCTGAGAACAGACAGGAGTACCTGACCAGCAGAAAAGAATATATAGATCCAGGCAAAACTCGGTAGGATGAAGGAACTAGGGGGAAAAACAGGAGTGTCAGGAGGACTGGACCTGCCCTTGGTGGGTCCGATCCCCACATTGGGGCAACTGTCTGAGTCAGAGGAGAAACATTTAAGACTGAAAGGGAAGCAGCTGATCTGTGG